GCTTCACCTTCCCTCCCTGAGGCGCCGCCGCTGCCTTTCGGTGCTTGGCGAGGGGAATGTCTCACTAACGGCTCAAAAAATCCTCCGGCCCCAACAAATCTGTTGTAACCTAGTTAAAATAGACTCCCACTGACGCTGCGGTGACACCGAGGCCCGCGGATGTGCTCTTGCCTTTAGGCAAGAGGCTCTGCTCATGGCACTCGTGCAACCAGGCTCTGCTGCGCCGCCAGTTTCCAAAGCAGAGCAGTTATTAAATATTTGAGTTTGAGAAACTGGGAAAAGAATTTTTGCCTGCAGGTCTTCAAAAGCTCAGCAGGAGGAAGAGGGTTTCTTTAAAGCACAGGAGCTGGAGCTGATGCCAGCTTCCAGAACAAGCGGAGTTGCACTGTCCTCGGCGAGGCCATGAGGACTGGGACCAAGAGCCCTCATGGGCCAGTGGGGCTTCTTCGACCAAGCCAAGCGGCTCCACATCAAAAAGCAAATTGTGAAGCTTTAGGAAGAAGAGTGTCCAGATTTTGTAGTAATTTAGTATAACAAAGTCTCTTAATTGGATGGATTAGCATAGCAGGCTGATGGTGAAGTAGCTTCAATCTAAAGCAAAATTTCTTATCTATGGGCAAAAAAAGGGCACTTTGCCACCCATTTTCAATATATATGCACTTCGAATCCAACTAGCCTGTGTTGCAAGATCTCCAGGTCTCTAAACCCATTCATGGTGCATCTCATGCTCTTTGGGATAGGCAATCATCCGTAGCTTGCAGATGGCTCTGACGGGGTGTAACAAAGCTTCAAGTCCGGTCTGATGATCCGCCCTTTCCAATGATCACCCACAGCATCGCTACTCCTTTTCCATCCAGCCTTGCACGCTCAAATAGCCCAGCGTTCAAGGTGGTTACATACTATGTTGCCCCATGACATACTAAACTTTGGGCTTGTTTTTTTTGCAAAACACTCTGCAGAGCTTTATAGAGACATTAAATACAAATGCTTCCATTGAGCCTGTCCTGGGAAGCCTGTTTAAATCATTCCCTTTATTAAACATCCTTGACTTTTAAAAACGGATGAACCACTCTTACCAGGGCATCCGACAGAAAAGCCACTCATATCCACAGCAACAAGTTGCACGAGGGCTTAGGGCTCCCCATTACTTTGCCCCATTTTAACATCACAGAGAAAATGAAGTCATTTTAGGCTGCCTTGGGGAGTGTGGTTTAAGGTTTCCTGAGAGTGGAGCAGCTGGTGAGCCCTGGCTGGGACTCCCTGATGCAACCTCCTAGCATAGCAGGAAGCCAGCACACCAGTGCTCTGAAAACCCATTTCGGGCAGCTGTGAATCCTTTGCAGACAGGCTAAATTCTCCTTCTGTATGGAGGGGGTGGGAAGAGCACAGGGGAAAAAAAAGGAAAGGCTCCCATGTCTGAACTCCATCCAGGGCACCCTGGGCCCTGACCAGCCGAGGGCAGGTAGAGGTGGGAGTCAACTGAAGGGATTTCATTCCCAAGCTAAGGGCAGTCCTTTTAAACAAATACCAACACACCACAAATACCATCCCACCCAAAGCCCCCGCATCCCACATGCCAACTTTCCCCAACAATTTCCACATGGCTCAGAACAGAGAGGAGGGCCAGCGGGCCCCCCAAGATGTCCCCACAAAGGCCTGGGTTGGGATTTCACACCCCTGTTTCTGTAAGAGGAAGAGAAAAAAACAGCAGAAGGCTAGCCCGTTTTCTAAATCAATACGGTTTTTCAAATTTATTTTTTTTCCTTTTTGTTTTTTAAAGAATTACTTCTAATATATCTTTCTCACAGAAGGGGAGGGGGGTATAGGGAATGTTCTCATTCCGTCTGTAAACACTGAAATACAGATCTGGGAAACCAGGGAAGAGACACAAAAAAAGTGCATTTTACAAAATTATCAACTAAAATATATTTTACATGTATTACGTTTCCATTTAAATTCTACCGACTGCATTTTCAGTTTCAAAAAATATTTCCATATCTAATAGATTAAAAAAGCATGAAATATTTTCATTATGGATAAGACATTTTGATTCATTTACATGCTGGCTGCCCAACAGTGTAAGCAACCACGTGAATCTTGAACAATGGTCACAGCCTGAAGCAGATTCTCACGCCAAAGAAGTCCGGACTTGGCCTCTCCAGACATGAGCCAAAGCCTCTTCCAGATCCAGGGCAAGTAATTTCTCTTCTACCTGGAGAGGAATCGGGACTGCGGTGGGGTTGGACTGGTAGGTGGTCTTGAAATATGATGTGGCTGGTGGCCCTCTGCTAGAGGGAGGGAGCTGCAGGCAGCTCCTCTGCTTCAGGACGGAGGCCAAAGGAGGCCCTGACAAGTCAAGCGTGTGCACTGAGGGGTTCCCCGGACCTTCCGCGCCATCGTGGAGAACCACATCCCCCTGGGCTGCAAGGGCAGGTGCAACTGCCCTTTCTCCAGCATCCTCCCAGCCTGCTAAGGGGAAAGGACAGCAAGGATCTCCTTGCCCATCCTTAGTGATCACCTTTGGCACCTCCTCCTCCTACCACCCTCTGGCACTTCCATCCAGCTGACAGAGCAGCCTGAGAACAACCCTGATTCTGTCCCCTTCTCGCACCGTCGTAGCTGCAGCCCCACTACACCCTTCCAAGAGACCACCAGTGTCCGAGGTAATTGTTACGGGGCAATCTGAGCAATTACTTCGACACTAACAGTATCTTGAGGTATAGCTTAGATTAGATGATTCAGCCACAGGTTCTTGTCCACATACCTAGGATCACACCTCCTACAGCTGGGCCTTTTCCCCTGGGCCATCTGGGCAAGAACAAGTGTTGCAGAAGACTCTGGAAAAGCCTGAGCTACAACGTTCCACCAGAGAAGGAGACACAGGCCCTACAGAAGTGGCA